GCCACGAAAGCAGTATTCTACCAAAGTCTCCGTAATCTGCAACAGCGACTGAGGGAAATGCAAGATGCTTGAATGGCCTGCAAGAGCTAGGATATTCAGGCCTACGCAGACCGCAATGAATGGAAGAACTTTTTCGCTGCACTCAGGGTCATCTGTGGCCTAATTGCCGAGGGCACAGCTCCTCTGTCCAGCGATTTTGGATCCACCCTATTTACTGAGAAGGCACAGGTCCTGCAACGCCGGTCCGAGCACTTCCAAGGCGTACTTAACCGCCCTTCCGTCATCTCCGAAGCCGCCATCGACCGTCTGCCTCAAGTGGACATCAACGTGGATCTCGACCTCCCACCTACTTTTCAGGAAAATATCAAGGCGGGGTAGCAAGGCTCCAGTGGGAAAGCACCCCGATTCTGATGCAATCTCTGCAGAGCTCTACAAATACGGTGGCCGTCAACTCATCTCCCATCAAAATACGCTCTTCCAGGAGGTGTGGCGACAAGGCCAATCCCCACAGAACTGCAAGGACCTTTACAAGCACAAGCGGAAACGCCAGATCTGTTACAACCATTGTAGAATACCGCTGCTCTACATCGCCGGCGAAATCTTCGCTCGGAATCTCCTGAAACGTCTCAACAAGCACTTCGAACAAGGACTCCTGTCAATAAGCCAATGCCGTTTTCGCCGTCACTATGGCAACACGAACATGCTCTTCGCCGCGCGTCAAATGCAGGATAAGGGTCAGGAGATACGCGCCCACCTGTTCACCGTTTTTATGGATCTAAAGAATTCGTTCGACACGGTGAATCACACTGGGATTCGTAAAGTCATGCAAAAGTTCGGCTGTCCTGAGCACTTCACTCATATAGTGCGCAAGCTCCACGACGGAATGATGGTGCACGTCACGGACGACGTATTGGTTTCCGAAGACTTCGCAGTGACGAATGGATTGAAGCAGCGCTGTGTCCTCTCGCCTACCCTCTTCAATCTAATCTTCTCTGTCATGCTGACGGACGCCTACCCTGGCGAACGTCCCGGCATTCACACCAACTACATAAAATGAACCTCTTTACCACAGAATGCACAGATTTCGGTCTCACCATCAAAACGGAGAAAACGGCGTCATGCGCCAACCGCTGCCGGGTGCTGACTACAACGCTACACGCATCAACGTCAACTGCACCGAGCTCAAGAACGTGGACAACTTTGCCTATCTCAGCAGCACGCTATCCCGCAACACCCGAATCGACGACGAGGTTGCTCACCGGAACACTAAAGCCAACCAGGCCTTCGGTCGGCTTCAAGCCTCTGTTTAGAATCATCCATTCTGTCAACGAAACTGAACATTTACAAGGTCATCGTGCTCATAGCTCTCTTGTACGAAACGGAGACTTGGACCGGAGGATAATCATTTCCATCTCTATTGTATCCGCCGGACGCTGAAAGTACGATGGTGGGAAAGGATCCCGGACACGGAATTTTTCTGAGAGAACGGGGTTTCAGCATCCAGGCCTTGCTCAGGCGGATACAGCTGCGCTATAGCGGTCACGTGGTATGGATGGATGATGAACGACTATCCAAGCGACTGTTTCATGGAGATTTCGCAGTAGGTGCCCGTCGCAAAATAGCACAAAAGAGTCGCTAAAAGGATATTCTGAAGAATTATTTGAAACGTCTAGAAATTAACAGGGCTATCTCGGAGGAACTGACGCAGGATCGATCTACGTGGCGAAGACCGGTACAAACTGGCAAAGCAATCTACGAAGACAGTCGGATTGCCGCCACCAAGGCAAAACGAACACCTCGCAAGTCTCACAATCAACGGACGCATATTGTCACCGCACAAGCCCTTCCAAACCATCCACGCTGCCAACGCATCCTCCATGCACGCATTGGCTTGGTTGGCCACTTCCGGACGCAGTGCACCCCGCTTCCGACGGCATCTACTTCCACGGTGTCAAATACTGCAACACACTCTTCTCTGTCCAGCATCTCGACGGCAGCAACCCTCACCACAGACGCTCCGCTACCCTCATCCACCGGTATCGCCTCACCCACAACCCCCTAGATCTACTCCGACGAATCATCACCTTCCACCAACATCCCCATCACATCAACCAGCGCTGGGGGCTCAAGCCTTATCTGCCCTCACTGCAGTCGAGCATTCACCTCACGCACTGGCCTATTCGGTCACTTGCGAATCCATCGCAAAGAGACTGGTATACGAGTGCCTGGAGC